CTATTTGATGAAGTACAGGTAGGTGCAAAATGTTTTTTTTTTCCTCTTTTACCCTTCTTAGTCTCCCTCTCCCTTCAACTTACTTTTCCAGTATTTATTCTAGAGTAGCTTCGGAATTAGGAAAGTTGTAGTACTCCATTGTCCAATATTATAATGAAAACGTAGAACATTTCTTAAATTTCTGCCAGTACTAAAGTTGTCCAACTCTTTAGGCCTTTTCACATTCCCTCTACAATATCATCATTTGTATATGTCTAATGAGTCCTATCTGATTGTAAGACACTTGGGTGACAAAAATTACCTGCTTTCCAAATAATGGCTGAAATGAATTGAAATGGTTCCTTGATTGTGCAAAGCCTAGACTAATAATGATAATGATCAGATAAGATAGCAGTCTTTCCCATGGACTACTTTCAAGTGCCAAGGGATTCTGCTCAATTTAGAATGACATTACTGGATTATAAACACAAGAAAACTCATGCTGACTATGCTTTTCACTCAAAATTGAAATATTTTATTTAAATATTATAGAAAAGGTAAAAGTGGTCGTAGCTCTTGACATCTCTCAGCTTTTTTCCTATCCTGACTCTTGCTTTCACCTGACTAGGAAGGCATTTCAATTCACCATCAACAGCAAAAATATATTAAATAACTATTATACATAATGTCCTATATGAGATGCTGGGGAAAATACCAAGATAAATATGACATGGTACTTGTCCTTAAGGGTCATATATAAGTAGTTCACGCATGTTGGTCAGATTTCCATTCTACTAAAATCCAAAGTCCTACACAAAGAAAATAAGAATCTTCTTTCTTCTTGTGAATTTAGAGCTCCTTTAAAGGAGAAAAAAAAAGTGATACATTGAGAATCTTTTCTTTTCAGGTCAAAGAAAAAGTTCTTCTTAGGCAACAAGGGAGCTACATTCTGACTGTGGAGGCTGGGAAGCAGTTGCTGCTCTCTGCCGATAGCGGGGCTGAGGCAGCCCTACAGGCTGAACTCATGGAAATCCAAGAGAGATGGAAATCAGCTAGCAACTGCCTTGAAGAACAGAAGAAAAAACTTGGCTTTCTGTTGAAAGTAAGTTGAGTTGCTCATCTAGAGAGGAGGAAAGAGCTTGACTTCTTAGTTTTCAGAGAGCCTTTGTAAATGTGTCCGTTTCCCCATTACTATATGAATAAGATAACTGGAGAGGAAGCATAGCACTTGCAGACAGAGACCTAGTCTTGGAAATAGGAAGAATGAGTTTCAAGTTTTGCCTCTGACCCCATACTGGCTGTGTGACCCTGGGCAACCACTTACACTCTGAGGAGCCCAGGCAACTCTCTAAGATTCATTTTAGAGCAGGTACTGATGAACAATGGAAGTAGTTTCCTTACTAGGAGTTCTCTTTGCCAGTAAAATCACAGGTCAAATGCAAAACCTTCTCTGAAAAAAGAAAATCTAAAGTCAATTACAGTACCTCATAGTATTTCTAGCATCTAGTCCCCATCTACTTTGTATGTGTTTTATATGCACTTAGCATAGTGTCTGGCATGTAGTAGGCACTTAATAAATGTTTATTGATTGATTCACATGCATATAGATAGATGGTTATAGATTATATATAAACATTGTCTTCCCCTTTAGAAATATGAACTCTTTGAGGACAGGTATTATTTTTGTCTTTTGTTATGCAACATGGTAAACACTTAATAATTGCTTGTTGACAGATTGATTTAGGGTTTTGACACTGTTTATTCCACATATCTGAAATACTATCCTTCCTCACCTCTACCTACTGGCTTCCCTGGCTTTCTCTGGAGCTCTGCTCAAATTCCACCTTCTTTAGGAGGCATCCCAGATTGCCTCCTCCTTTCAGTCTCTTCCCTTTGAGATCACCTTCACCTTCCACTTATAGAATGTGCGTGTGTGTGTATGTGTGCATGTGTGTATAATCTTGTGTGTGTGCATGGATAGATAGATAAATAGATATTCGCATGTTATCTCCTCCTTAGAATGTGAGCTTACTGAGGACTAGTTCAGTGTTAAGTCAAGGCAGCAGACATTTATTAAGCGCTTACTTTGTGCTAAGTACTAGAAATACAAAGAAAGACCCTCCCCGCCCAAAAAAAATTTCTTCTCTCAAGGAGCTCACTGTATAATAGGGAAGACAACAAGCAAATAGATATGTAAAAATAAGATATACATATATATATATAGATAGATACACATATATACATATATACATGCATATTTATGTGTGAGGGTATATGTATATGTGTATATGAATGAATGAATGATAAATTTGAGATAATCTCCAGTGGAAGGTACTAGAATTGAAAAGGAATGGGAAAGGCTTCCTGCAGAAGGTGGAATTTTATGTGAGATTTGAAGGACGTGAGGGAAGGTATAAGAAAACTGAAAAATATAAATGAGCCAGGTTATGAAGGGCTTTAAAAGCCAAACAGAGGAATTTATATTTAATCCTATAGTTAATAGGAAGCTACTGGAGTTTATTGGATAGTGGGGTGGCATGGTCAGACTTGTGATTTAGGAAGATCAGTTTGACATCTGAATGGAGGATAGACTGAAGTAAGGAGAGATTTAAAGCAAGGAGATTAACCAGCACACTTGAGTGGTGAGAGCCTACACTGCCCCTGCCAGAGGAGAGAATGGGGCATAATCTGCAGATTCCACTAAGGTAACTGTTTGTACTTTTCTTTGTAATCTCAAGTGTTTGGCACAGTGCCTGGTACATAGTAAGTATTTAATAAATGTTTGTTGACTGGCTGACATGTCACCTATATTATGCATTAGTGAAATCTACTTTTCTAGAATAGAGCAATAAGGAAAGAAAACTATGGATAGAAAAGACGTGGACTTATCACCATTCAAATTTTCATTAGCTAATCAAAATGATTTGATTTTTTTTTGCTTCTTATGCTTCTGAAATAAATCAGATAACAGAAATTGTAAATAGGGCACTCCCATTTTATTTTTTATTTGATTTTATATGATATTTTATATGATATCATTATAGATTATATTACATATTATTATATGGTATTTTATATGATATTAAGTAAAATTTTGTAGATGTATATTATTTATTATATTAATATTTAGAAACATAAAATTTTAGATCAGGAAAATGTTGAGCATATGTATGTAGATATATACATATATGTAAGAGATACATATATATGATTATGGGATTATAGCTATCAATTATCCAGTGCTTAAATGGGAATTTTCTCTTCTTTCACACACTAATTATTATTAAATTTTCTAGAGCGGTTTTTACTTTGGCATACTACTTAGTTTGTGGTCAGATGATTACAAAGAGCTTTAGAACCTATTAACAAGCCTAAGTATTTTGATGACATTACCTACCCCAGTTGTTCTCCTTGTACTCTTCCACTATTTGTTGATATATATGACATATCCAATTAGCTGAAGGACTGCAGCCCATGGCAAAAATTTATTTATAAGTTGTATGGTGGAAAGATTTTAGTTGCAAATTCATACTACAAGTGATCTTTGGAAAGCGGAATCCCTATTCAACTCTTCTGAGAATGTATTTGATATTGCATCAGTCTTTCATTATTTATTGTTATTGTTGTTATTATTATTATTAGGCTAAAATGACATTCATGAAGCCACATTTTAGTGTTGTCTTCCATACCACAGACATAAAAAAATCTCAACATATTTTAACTTGTTGGTTGTTACTGTCTCCAAGCAAATGTGAATAAAATTCGTGCAGTGAGTATGCAGTGCAGAAAAAGAACTCATTATACTTCAGTTCACCATATATTAGAAAACTGAACCATGTGTTCATTTTTCTAAGTCTCTATTCTGATTAAGTGGAATAAGAAGCTAATACAGTGCTTTAATACTAGGCAAAACTTATTTACTGTTAGCAGATTTCAATTTAAATAAGGTAGGTTAATTTATTTGAGAATTTTGTAAAAAATATATATATATGTAATATACACACACACATATAAATTCATGATCAGAAAAAGGATTATTATTGTTGTCATTTCCCAACACCTTTGAGCATGTTGCATTGATTTATCATTTATTACCTGGAATCAGTCTTGAAGATATTTAGACAGGAGGGATTTCCTGTAAAGTAGGAAGAAAACAAGCATGTTCCAGATATGGGAGGTAAGTACAGGATTTTGAAGTAGTGAAAGAGAATTTTGGGTGCAGTGCAGAATTCTTTAGTATGCCCCTACAGAGCCCATACAAGAAGAGAAATGGGCAATGCTACTGGTAAAGAAAACGATGTTATCAGGTTCAGCAGCTGAGCACAGAACTGTTTCTGTATTCCACTGCATCTGTGTTCTGATGACATAGATTCTTCACAGCACTCTCTCCGCAATCTTAATATTGCGTTTTAATTATAGAGCAAACTTTAGAGAGAATTTCTTTTCCAAAATAAATTTTGAAAGATTTATTGGACAATTTTATTTTAATTCTTCTTAACTCCAGGTTCCCAGTGGGAGACTCATGCAGTTTCTTTTTCCTTCTGTTTAGGACTGGGAAAAATGTGAAAAAGGAATAGCTGATTCCCTGGAGAAATTGAAAGCCTTCAAAAAAAAGCTTGCCCAATCATTGCCAGATCACCATGATGAGCTGCATGCAGAGCAAATGCGTTGCAAGGTAACCTTTGACCTTTCACCTCTAGAGTAATAAAAATATTGAAAGCATAATCATATCTCACATTTATGGATTGCTTTAGAGTTTATAAAGTGCTTCCCTCACAAGACCACAAGGTAAGTGGTGCAATTATTACTCTTTTCATTTACTGATAAGGAAACTGAGACCCAGAAAATTTAAATAACATGCCTAGGTTCCCACAACTAGTAAGTACCAGAGCCTGAATTTCAGCCCATTCCTCTCAATTCCCATTCAAGGATTCTTTTCACTACTTGCTTCTTCTTTGTAATTTTTTTCCAGACAAAATTGTGCCTTCTCTGCCACCTCCCTTTCCTACCCCACATTCAGAAAAAATACAGAACACTTCTCATAATTGCACATCAGCCTTACATGGGGGCCATTCTAATTTTTTTGTATCATTCCAGCTGTAATAGTGGTGTTGCAAAGTCAATACCTTGCTTCTAATAATAAAAATAAATCCTTACATCTATTTACAGGTATAAACAAGTTACTGTTACATTACATAAAGGTAGATTATTTTAAGGAGAATCATATATATCTGATTTATGGCAACTGATGAAATCATGCACCTCCGGTACCTGTACAATACAAAAATGAATCCTAAGCATTCATACAGATGTATACTTAAACTGAGCACATGAGCATGAAAGGAGTATTATGAACATAACTACTTATTGTAAGGAAAGGGCAGTTTAAGGAAATATATCTTCTAGTCTACCTTAATTATTAACACACTAGGGGATTGCCAAACCAAGAAATTCTACAGACAGTTGCCTTCTAAGGAACACACCCTGTCTCCTGGTTCCTATTAGCTGGTTTGTGGAAACAGTAGCTGACCTCATATATATTACATATATTAAGAGCTTTTGAAGGGAGATAGCATTTTCAAATTTCTAAGGCTAAAACTATTAACAGATTACAATCAGAACCTTAAATTGTACTTGGAAACAAATCAGTAGCTAATTTAGACTACTCCCTAAATAATGTGCTCCTGAAATTATCATTGAGAAGCCATTACTATATTAATAGATATACATATTAGTAAGAAGGAAGAAAACACTCATTTATTAAGTGCCTACTGTGTTCCAGGCACTTCACATGTATCATCTCGTTTGATCCTTAAAGCAATCCTGTGAGGTCTAGGTGCTATTATTATCCCCATTTTATAGTTGAGAAAACTGAGGCAGACACAAGTTAAATGACTTGCCCAAGGTCACACAGTTAGTAAATGTATGAGGCTGGATTTGAACTCTGGGCTTTTAGTCTCCAGGTCCAGTGTTCTATCCTCTATGCCAATTCAGTACCTATAGTAGAAATGTAATAACTTGGAGTTCCTTCTAATCTAACTCCATTATTTGGCGGTTGAGTAAACTGACAACCAAGGTGGGGAAGTCACTTGTTTAGGGACACACAACTGTCAGTGGTAGAAGACAGAATTACAAAACTTTTCTTTTTTAGGGAAAAAACAATGACTATGAAAGTTGTTCGTGTGAGTCAGCTCTAACCAGCCTTAACATACTTCCTTGCGTATAGCAGGTGTTCAGTAAATGTTTGTGAAATCAAATTGAGTTCAGTTTCCCAGCCTCCTTCCTCTTAGCCCCAGACAGCAAGAGATAGACACAAGATATATATGGATGAGTTTCATAGTCTTTTAAAGTTGCAAACATTGTTATTCAGGCAATCAGGTGGCCCAGCAAACAGAGTACTTGTCCTGGAGTCAGGAAGACTCAAATTCAAATGTGACTGCAGATGCTTCCCAATGTGGACGCTGGGCAATTCACTAACCTCTTAGTTTCAGTTTGTTCATCTTTAAAACAGAGATAACAATGGCACCTACCTCTGGAGATGTTTTAAGGATCAAATGAGACAACCTATGAAGATAATTGCAAACCTTAAACATCTGTATAAATATCATTGTTGTTCTTGGGCAGAGATTGAAATTTAAACCATAAGATAGCTAATAGTTTGGATAGATATCAGGTTTTGAAGCCAAATATATACATATATATATATATATATATACATATATATATTTACTTAAATATTTTAATGAAAAACATATGATGTAAGCTGCTTTATAAATATAAATTTAAGCTCTTAATACACATAGAAACATTTTTAAAATCTTCTATAAATAGTTGTAAGATAATATAATTCAAAAATATGAGGAGGGAATTGGAATTCTAACATACTTCTACAATATAGAACAATGAACTTTTGTAAACCTTTTAAGAAAGCTGAATAGAAATGTGTTCACCACAGTCTACAAGCTATATGTTAATCCTGAGTTCCTCCTATAATTATTTAGAAAAATTTAATAAAACTATTCTGTCTAGTAAGAATCACATTCAATCAATCTATGAAGTTGCTTTGGATATGAAAGTAATGCTCCAGAGGTGACAAAAGGATTTCTTAACAGTATCACAGGAGATGATGGTTAACAGACTTAATCATTTTCACCATCTTCCTGCCAAGTTGGCATACCTAAAATCTAGTACTTTACTTCCTTCAGAAAGTATAAAGCTCATCTTTACCATTTAAAACAGCAGAAAAACTTTTCATATTAGATATTAATCCTTAGTATAAGAAAGTTCAAACCTACTTAAAGAAATTATATAATCTCCTTTAAATGTATAACTGATAACCATCTATGGAGTTCTGCTGACTTAAAAAAGAAAGACCTCAAGAGCGATGGGAAAAAAAATCAGGATAATGTAGTATACTCCCTTTTGGTAATGCAGTGATTCTCCTGGCTTTGAACTAGAGGCAAAGGAGAGGTGTCTTTGATTAGTTTCATATTCAAGATGAAATTAGCTCTCTCTAAAGTTATTAATGATAATACTGTCACTTGGAGAATTTGGTGCCCGAGCTGACTATTGTTGCTTTGGGACATGATTCGCCATCAGAGAACTAATGTCAGTGTTAGAAACAAAAGTGATGATCTTATTATTTGGATCCAGATTAAAGAAACATTTTTCCTGTTTTTGTTTGTCCTGCCTTCCCTCTGCACTCCCCTTTAATACTCTGCCACCTTTAACAACAAACTGAAGGACTGATATTAGCCAAAGTGTAATATATCCACATTATCTAGAATTTTAGTCCCACGTATAGTTGCCTGGATTTTATGCTTTCTTTTAAGTGTCCTGGACTCTTTGTAAAGAGCCAAAAACCTTTGTAAAAACCTATATAAAGTACATTGCTTATTTGATCGATTAGTTAGAATCATCACATCAGAAAACTTTTGGGGAACAAACACTATGCAAATTGCAAAAAGGGGAACCTGTCAAAGCATTGTAAGGGCAATGTTGAGTCACTGGAATATCGTTATTGGGACAGTGTCAATACCTGCATTAGAATACAGATGACATTAGCTTCATCAGTAGCTTGAATAATTAGATTTGCAACAATATTAGGTTATCTATCATGAATAATAACAGCAAGATATAATTTTCTACATATCTTAGATGTATAGTAATAATAGCTACCAGCACTTATAGAGCATTTTAAGGTTTGCAAAGTACTTTACATACATTATCTTATTTGACCTTCACAGTAACCTGATAAGGTAAGTGCTCTTATTACCCCATTTTATAGATGAGGAAGTTGAGGCAAGCAGAGGTTAAGTGACTTGCTCAGGGAAACAGCTAGTAAGTGGCCGAGGCAGGATTTGAACTCATGGCTTCCTGATCCAAAGTCTATCACTCTTTCCACTGCAATTAATAGATGCCTATAAGTATATGTTTTATGTCTTCATAGTATAAAAAGGAGACTTTTGTAAGATGCATATTTCAAATATGTGTGAGATTAAAGATAGAAAGATAAATCTAGGAGTCAGTCTTTGTAAAGGCATCAGGATTATTGCAAAGTAGAAGAGAAAGAGTTTAAATGGAAAACTTGAACTAAATGGGATCATGTGAAGAGAGAGAAGGGATGCATGGAAGGAATTGTCATCACGAGAAGTCAGAGCAGAAACTTTGCATTTTCCCAGTAGAATTTGCCGAACTGTCAAATAACCAGGTAGTGATTTACTAATGAGCTTGACAAAAATTAGGTGGTATAGTTTCAAATATCATGGAAACAGGGCAAGTTTGAGTAGTGAGGTGTCCAAGGTAGAAGAAAGAAACCCACATTCAAATAGCTACATATCAGAAATACACTCTCATAATATGGAAACATAAATAATGTGATCAAAGTAATAATACCATTTAAATGACTCAATAGTTTTATGAGGGCTTTCGTGTTGAGGGGAAAACATAAACATTCAAACTGGTTTCTTTTCTTGCAGGAGTTAGAAAATGCTGTTGGAGGCTGGACAGAGGACTTGGCACATCTGGCACTCCTGAAGAATACTCTCTCAGCATACATCAATGCTGATGATATCTCTATCCTCAATGAACGCATAGAGTTGCTACAAAGGCAGTGGGAAGAACTCTGTCACCAGGTAAGGCACATTTTTTTGATTGAAGTCTTCTATCTTTATATGCTAGTTATTTAATTCTCCATCCCTCCCCCAGCCCTGGACATGTTGAACCTTTACTTGTGACAAAGAAAAGCAATTGAACAATACCATTAGTTACCTCATTTGTATCTAGTAGTGTTCACAGTATTCTATCCTACTAGAACCCTACCTCTCTTCTTTGAAGGAAGGTATATGTTTCATTATTTAGTGTATTGAACTTCCATTGGCTTTTCAGGAATGTAAGAGTTCAACTCATTTTAGTGATTATTTACTTTTCATAGTTTTAGTAATTTTGAGGATAGTTATCTTGGTTCTGCTTATTTCATTCTCTGTTAATTGATTAAAAAAAATGTTTCCATGTTTCTATGAATTCCTCTGATTCATCATATCTTACTACCCAGTAACATTCCATTAATATTTATTTGTGGTGCTTTAAGTTTGCAAAGGACTTATGTTATCCCATTTAATTCCCACAATATCACAGGCTTCTTTTTCCTCTTTATTTCTTCAGAGTCTGGTGAAATAACCCCAAATGTTATAGTCACAACAAATGCTTAGTAAATGTTTGTTATTGTGGTAATTCTCGATCATGATGATGATGATGATGATGATGATGATGATGATGATAAGAGTCTCTGACCTAAAGGCAATTATTAAACTTCTGTATACTTGTGATCCTTCCTTCTGAAAAAGAAGAATAATATTCCTGATCAATTCTAGGGTTAATAGAGCTGTTCTTATAAATATAAATAAATATGTCTCCTAAGAATAAAGGTGTTATGTAAAATAGATGTGGGAGTGTTACTGTTAACTGTTAGATGGACAGAGAATATATGTTAAAGCTATTTTTCATATATAGACACCTAGGCACCAATCTGTTTGGAAACAGATTTAGAATTCTCATGCTAGGATGGGTGACCATGTGATATGCTCTAGAAAAGAATCTAATCGATTAGCTACCAGAGTTATTGCCT